GGCAGGTGGCGTGAGGGTGGTTGGGGTAGGGAGATGGGGCACAACTGGGGTAGGCGCGAGAAAAATATTTTCCTTTAATTTGAGAAAAATGAGTTCATGATAAAAATATTTTTCAAAATATTTAAGATAATCGAACATGGAAAAAATTAAAATAATGCCTTGATACCAAACACACCGACAATCTTTTCTTCTTTTAAATAGAACATAACAAAATTTACATCAACACCACACAACACCACACACAATAATTTAGAGGAAAGAAGATAGTTTATCCATAACGTTGTAGAATACAAAAATTACATCATAGAAATCACAAACCGCAATAAATCTACCAACAATATTGCATACGATCAAAGATCACGACTAGTTTAATTAGTAACAAAACTAGCACGTTAATCTTTGAACAATCATAATGCTTATTCAATAGTTTCTCAAATTAAGTTTTTACATATATAACATATGGTAACATTCTTAGCATGGCCTAGTACAGAAACAACGGCGACGGAGTCCACGACAGTCGCCACCGGAAAATCCTTCGGTCTCACAGACGGCGGCACAGTTCTTCTCTCTAACACATGGTCCCCTAAAACGTTGGCTTTTCGACTCGCAACGTCTTGCCTCTGCAATTGTCATTGGTCCCATCTCTGTACGTAAAAACACCTTAGCGTTAGTAATTACTAATTAAGTCCATACATGCACGTTTGATAAAAGGTAGATTCTGATTTTACGTTAAATGACACCCCATAATAGGAAATGATATGGTATGTGTAAAATTATAAAATTTAAAGGATATTTTTTGGCATGTTATACACAGGGGCGGATGCAACATAGAATTACCGGGTTCAACTGAACTCAGTACTTTCGATGCGAAGTACAAATTTATGTGTAAAAATTTTCTAAAATTATAATAAATAGTAGATATGAACTCATAACTTTAAATATTGAACCAATAGAACTAAAATTCTACATCCGTCTCTGGTTTTACACACATTTCATTTAGAATGTTAAGAATTATAATTTTTTTAATATTCTTAAATTTTGTGCCCGATCAACGACAAATAAAATGAGTTGAGGGAGTATTTATAAAATGTGCCCCCAGCATAGAAAACAAAACGAGTAGTATTATGGTATGACAATATCCACAATTTTTGACCAAGGAAACTTTAGCTCTTTATTAGAGGTCTCGGAGTCATGTGAATAAAGAATCTTTTAGTAGAAAGTATATTATCCATTTAACGGACTTATCCAGCCAGACTAATTGATTTCAAATATAAAAATGCTTAAATTAAAAAAAGAAAGAAAAAAGAAACAAGTTTGATAAGGAAGAAGAAGACGAACCAGTAGCCATGACAAGCATTGCTAGAAGTAACACAGTGGCAAAGAAGCGCATGGATTTTGCCATTTTCACAAACAGAACTATTTAAGATAGTTTGGTATGTGAGAGAGCTAATTGAGGTTGGTATGTGGTTTTATAAAGGCTTATCTTTGGAAGGATGACACATTGTTACTTCTTGACCATTTGAAATAAAGTAGTATATAGGAGTAGTAGATATTTTTTCTCTTTTCTTGATTGTATGTTCCAAACTACTAATAAATGATCTTTTCCTTTTTCTTTATTCATTTATTAATTTGATAATGTAATGAGGTTATAACTGATATTACATAAAGTATGAGACTTTTTTGTTAAAATAATATGGAAAAATTGATTACATAATTACTGAGGAAGAAGATAATACACTAGCTTTTTCAACAGTCAAACAAAACTTTAAAAAAAATCAATATTGCTGAAATGAGTGTCTACGTGAACGGTGAAAACGAAAAGGTTGTTGGAAGATTATCTACACGTACGGTTATTATCAACTCTTGCTTTTCTTTGATGTCATATGTAAATATTAATACAGATAAGCAAAAGCGCAATCTGAATTTGAAGTTTATGGGTTCTAAATTTGTTATTGAATTCATAACTTATTTTATTGCTGGATTTGCAATTAAATAATTATATATATTTAGTGAATATTCTAATATAAATTTATTATGTAAGTAAAAGTTACTGGGTTCGTCCGAACCAGTCAACAATATTCCCCCTTCGTCCCTACAGATAAGCATATAAATATTAAGTATAGATAAGTTTTAGGCGTAATGGCTTCCTTGCCACTTAAACTTGCAGGGCTTTTGAAAGCCGATACACGAACTTTGGATTTTCTCATTTGAACACTCAAACTTGACAAAATGGGTACTAATAAACACTTTTGACCGGTGACTATGCCTATGTGGAAGCACTGCAGCTGACATGGCTAAACTGTGTGCAAATCACGCTGCCAAGGCGCGCGAATAGGACCACTATCCGTTAAGATGGGGAGTTCTCTTAAACGTAATGAAGAACTGGGATCCATTTGTATTAGGACCACTATTTGCCATCGAGAGAAGACCAGCCTCAGTATGAACAACTTTAAAGTTTTCGTCTACATGGAGAAAAAAAATTACCATCATTAACCAATCATATAACCATTTATCAAACACTCAAACATATATACTACTAATCTACCTGGAAATTTCCCTCCATATATACTATCTCCACCAGTGCCTGCAAAACATTAAAAGTTCGTGTGCCTTACTTTTCTGGGCTAGAGTTTGGAAGTTAAAGAGTCATCTGCACCAATTGAAAGCTCAGGGCCCAAAAGGGGAAAAAGCATATCATTCTCGTTGGAGAAATCACCACCCTATTGTAAACAGAAAGAAGTCACGGGATGATGATTATTCCCCAATATATTGACCTACGGAAAAAAAATCTAGAAGTCCTATGTAGATTACAAAAGAAATTTAAAGGCAAAAATACTATATTTTTTATGCCAACTATAGTCATCAAACCAAGCCCAAAAGGTTCATGAACCAGATCAGCTGATATTCACCCCTACACAATTAATTTCTCATTTGAAATAAATGACAAGCACAACAGTTTTTTTTTTTGAAATTTCAAATTCTTTTTTTTTGTTGGTTAGGGTCTAATCATGGCCATAGCGATGTTGTGAATTTGATTTAGAAATAAGAGAGAAAGTATAATGAAGAAAAAGAGAAAGGAGAAGAAAGAAGAGTAAAGAAAGGAAGGGAGGAGGGTGAACGAAGAAGAAGGGGTGGTTGGGTACAGATTAATACTGGGTATGTTTCAGGGTTTTTTCTTTTTTTTGTATTTGTAACTTTTTTTTTTCTGATTTTGTATTTAAAAATGGGACCCACAAATAATATATGACAAGTAATAAATAGCTTAGGATGATGTGTTGTACATGTCAGCTCAATTGGTATACACGCTCTGATGGATGTTTTTATTAGTACTCATTTTGTTAAGTTTGAGTGTTCAAATGGGAAAATCCAAAGTTCATGTATCGGTTTTCAAAAGCCCTACAAGTTTAAGTGGCCAGGAAGCCATTACGCCTAAGTTTTAATTACGGTAAACTATTGTTGTGCCTCTTTGTATATGGACAAATCTAGAACACAAGGTGTCCTTACACTACAAGTTGAACTTTTGTAGGTCAATTGTCATGACCCAAAGGGTCGTCTTATGTTTTAGAACTCGATTCCGTATCTCGAGGCTTTAAAAGCCTCATTTTATTTCTCTTCGATTTGTGTGAGCAGTTCGGGCATGATTCCGGAAAGCTTTTATGTGGGAAATTTATGAAAATAAAATTTTTGGCCTAAAAAGTTAATTTTAGTTGACTTCGATCGACGTTTTGGGTAAACGGACCCGGACCTGTATTTTGATGGTCCCGGTAGGTCCGTAGTAAAATATGGGACCTGGGCGTATGCCCGAAATCAAATTCCGAGGTCCCAAGCCCGAGAACTGAATTTTTGATGAAAATTATAAGACTGAAAAGTTAATAATTTAAAGAATTTGACCTTATTGGTAGCGGGCCCGTATTTTAGTTTCGGAGCTCGGTACAGGTCTGTTATGATATTTATACTTTATCTGTGAAATTTGGTGAGAAGTAGGACTGATTTGACATGATTCGGACCTTTGGTAGAAAAGTTAGAAGTTTTAAAACTTTCTTGAAAATTTCATGCAATTTAGTGCTAAATTCGTAGTTCTAAGTGTTATTTTAGCGATTTGATCGCGCGAGCAAGTCTGTATAATATTTTTAGACTTCTGTGCATGTTTGGTTTGGAGCCCCAAGGGCTCGGGTGAGTTCCGGATAGGCTAGGGGGTGATTTACACTTAGAAAATCTGGTATTTTAGCTTCAGTTGTCATCTCGTGTCTTCTTCTTCACATTCGCGAATACACTTAGAAAATCTGGTATTTTGGCTTCAGCTGTCATCTGGTGTCTTCTTCTTCGCGTTCGCGAAGGGACTCTCGCGAACGCGAAGAGTAAAACTTGTCTGAGGGAGAACTCCTACTACGCAAACGCGAAGTACTGGTCGCGAACGCGGAGCGTTGAGGCATTACCCTTCGCGAACGCGACCAGGCTATCGCGAACGCGAAGCATGAGACCTGGGGGAGGGGAAAGTTGCTCATCGCGAACGCGACACTAGGCTCGCGAACTTGGAGGCTGGGGGAGTATGCCTTTGCAAACGCGATGGGTATCTCGCGAACGCGAAGGCCTTTGGCCGCTGCGCATTGCCAACGCGACATGCTTCTCGCGAACGCGAAGAAGACTTGTCCAATGNCGCTAAGTATCGCGATCGCGACAGGCTTCTCGCGAACGCGATGAAGACCTGTCAAGTCTTTTTTAAAACAGAACCAGCACGGAATTTTTCAAAAAATTTACAACTCTTTCATAAGAACTCGATCTATGAGCGAATTTGTAGAGGGATTTCAACACCAAATCATAAGTTTGTATTCTTAAACTCATTTCCTTCAATTTCCATCAATACCCATCCGATTTCTAATCCTAAATCTTGTTCTTAAGGGTAGGAAATTAGGGATTTTGGGAGAATTGGGAATTTTGCAAATTTGAGAATTTAGACCTCGATTTAGGGTCGAATTCCAGAACTAATTATATATTTGGGCTCATGGGTGAATACGCCCGAACCTGAAGTTTTGACCAAGCGTGCCCGAGGTCGATTTTTGACTTTTTGGGGAAAATATTGGGAAACTTATAATTATATATTGGAATTGATTTCTTTAGCGAAAATTGATATTATTAAGTTAATTATGACTAGATACGAGTGGTTCGAAGGTGAAAACTAGAGGAAAAACGGTGATTGAGGCTTGAGTTTGGCCGTGGAAATCGAGGTAAGTATCGTGGCTAACCTTAGCTTGAGGGATTAGGTATTTTATGCTTATTTGTTACGTGTTTGGGTGTTGAGTACAACTTATAGGTGAGGTGACGAGTATCTATACGTTGTTGTCGAGTCATAGCATATGAATTAAGCCTTATTCTTGTAAATGTTGTATCCTTGATTATATTATTCATGTTTAGATTATCTATTCAATATGTTGAGCTATTTCCTATCATGTTCTACTGAGTTTGGTTTTGATTGAGTATTGACTCAAAGTTGGGATTGGTATTGTGGCACTAAGTGTTGAAGTAAGACTTGATGTTGTTATTACCATTTCACTATTATTGGTGTTTCTTGTTTGGTGAGATTGAGTGATAAAGCACAAAGGGTGATGCCATGCACGTTCTTAATATTTATATGGTGAGGTTGAGTGATAAAGCACGAAGGTGATGTCGTGCATGTTTCTATTATTTATATGGTGAGGTTGAGTGATAAAGCACGAAGGATGATGCCGTGCACGTTTCTATCATTACTTATCTGGTGAGGTTGAGAGTAAAAGCACGAAGGGTGATGCCGTGCACTTTATGTTGTTGCGTTTACTTATTATTACTGGTTCAAGCTGTACTAGTTTTTTAAATTCCTCTATTGCTGTGATTTTTTATCTTGCAACCCCCTTAGCATGCTTGCCCTCCCATTAATATCTGCTTAGCTTCTATTACTTGTTATATCTGCTAGTATATTTTTTAATTGCACGGGTTATGTATGTGTTATGTCCTAGCCCCGTCACTACTTCGCCGAGGTTAGGCTCGGCACTTACCAGTACATGAGGTTGGTTGTACTGATACTGCACTCTACACTTTCTGTACAGATTTCGGTGCTGGACCATGTTGATCAGAGTTGGGTTGCTGCCTTCAGTCCAATAAGAGACCCAAGGTAGATCTGCCGGCATTTGCAGACCCTAGAGTCCCCTTCCAGTTATTCCAGTTTACTGTTTTCTTTTGATTCAACACAGTTGTATTTTCTTTTGGCCGGTATTTGTAGTGACTCTTAGAAGTCCGTATTGTGACACCAATTTCTGGGTATTTATGTATTAGTACTTGGGTTATTATGAGATTTTGTATTCCTCTAATCTGTTTTGGTTTTAATTGTTGTTATTTACTGAATTGGTTAGTGGTTAGCGTATTAAATCTCTATCTGTTGGCTTGCCTAGCGATTGTCAAGTTAGGCGTCATTACAATCCCGATGGTGGGAAATTCGGATCGTGACATCAATAATGTAAAAAAAAAAAATTG